CGTCATTTGCGTATCTGGGCATTCAAAACAAAAAAAAAAAAAATAAAAATGGCTTTTCTTTTATTTCTTAATTGGAAAAATTCCAAATGAAAAAATTTCCTTCTCTTCTCTTCCCTTCCTTTTCTTTTCTTTTCCCTTCCCTACCCTACCTTCCTCCTCCCTCACATTAACCTTTTTTTTCATCTTCTTCTTCTCCTTCTCCAGGCAGGCATTTAATGTCCTAAATAATTTCTTTTTCGATATATTTTGATCCACTATTAGCGGGTGTGACGAAAATTTGTAAATTTTTTCTTGTATAAAACAAAAAATGGCGGATAAAAGTTTAACGTAATGATAATAATAATTTTTGAATTTATTGTCAAACGGTGAAAAGTTTAAATAAGGTAGTAATAATAATAATAATAAATAAAAAAAGTCAAAACGAAAATAAATAAATAAACGTAAGAAAAGAAAGAAAGAAAGAGAGGAAAAGGGAGAGAGAGAGAGGTGGGGAGGGGGCAGATAAAAAGAAAGAAAGAGAGAGAGAGAAAGAGAAATTTTTTCAAAAATAAAATTCATAATTGTTTCCAATTTTATTCATTACGACATGAAAAAATTGTGGAAAGAAAAAAAAAAGAAAAGTTTTTCTTTTTTTTTTTTTCTTTGTTAAAATAAAGAAAATTAAAAAATAAGAAAAATTTTACAGTGTTGCCATACCGACGTTACGTAATTACGTACGTAAAATAAATATTAAAATATAAAAAAAAGGAAAAAAAGAAAAAAAAATTCCTTTGTTCGAAAAAATAAATTTTTTTTTTCTTTTTCTTTTTTTTTTTTTTTAAATATTAAACAAATTTGATCACTTATTATTATTATTACTATTATTAACGTTAACTTTGTTTAATAGATTAAATAACAGTAACGAGGAATAATAATAATAATAATAATAATAATGACGAAAGCATAATTTTTACTCCTTAGGGTTATTTTAGTGAGAAGAACTTTACCAAAAGATTCTCTCTCTTTGTCTCTCTTTATTTCGCCTTTGACATTCTACTTAATATTATTATTAAATTATTTATTATCATTATCATTAAATTATTTGATATAAGAATAAAGAAAGAAGAAGAACGGCGATGAAGTTTTAAGTTTTTCGCGGTCTTAGTAAAGAAGAAAAAGAAGAAATATATGATGACATAAGAAACAAACAGAAAATTTTCAAAAAACACCAGCCCCCCCTTGAAATTTTTCTTTTAAAAACATTTCAGGGGTTCGATCATGTATCGAAATGCATATTAAAAAAAGTGGGGAGGTGGGGAGCACGTTATGTATTAAGAAATTTTTAAATATGCGTTTATTAAACTTAAATTAAATAAAACATATTTTTCGTGGTTGTTGTGCGTGTTCGTGTTTCGTTTGCGAATGTTGAATAAAAACAAACAAAAATTTTCTTTTTTTTTTTTTTTGAAGGGGAGGGGAGATGATGTAAAAAGTGTGAAATGGTTTTACCCTAGAGGAGACAATAGAAAGAAAAAAAAAAGTGATATAGTCTATAAATATAGCGTTAATGTCATGGTTTGAGGTATATAAAAAGCTGGCGAGTAAAAAATTTATTAACCGACTTAACGCATTCCATTGTCATCGTGTGTGTTGTAGTAGTAGTAGTAGTCCCTTAAGGGATTTTTTTTACGTGCGTGGGTGCGTGCGCGTGTGCGTATAAAAAGAAAAACTTTTGGATTATATTCACTTCCGCCAAAAAATTTATTCACGTTTTTTTTTTGTTTTGTTTTTTCTTATTTAAAATCCTTACGTAATTTTTTTTGTCGTCGTAATCAACGTGGCGAATAAAAATAAAAACAAAATTAAAATTTTTTTTTTTTTTTTACACGCGCGTTTGAATTAAATAAAAAGAAAGAAAGAAAGAAAGAAAGAAAGGAAAAAAGGAAAAAAAAAATACGCATTGTGTAGCGTAGCGTCATAAATCATTAAAAGGAAAAAAAAAAAAAAAGGACGAAAAAATGAGTGGGAAGGTTGGGGGTAGGAGGGGAGAGAAGAGGGGGCGGGGAGAAGGCGGGAGAGGAAAGGGTGAAAATAAAAAAAGGACTAAAAAATAAAAAACAATTTACGTTATTCGGGGAGGATTCACAATTTGATATCACGAGCAATTTACCAAATTTAATTAGTCTTTGCTTCGTTTAAAATAATTGACATTTTGGAAAACGTTTAATTTTCCGTAAAAAAAAAAAAAAAGGCGGCGTCGTCGACGTTGACGTCATCGTTGTCGGCGGCGTCGGCGGCGGCAACGCCGTCTATTAAATTTAATTCGAATCCGCCATTACAGTAAAAAAAAAAAAAAAAAAACGAAAAAAAAAAAGACAAAAATCGAATAAACGCCCTAATTATTATTATTATTATTATTTAAAAAAAAAAAGAAAGAAAATTCCTGGTTCATTAAATAATTTTTACGCTGTGTAAACAAAAAATAATTATTTTTGGCGGGAAATAATTTTTAAAAAAAATTTTAATGTTTATCTTGTGAATGACGTATTAAAATAATAAATAAATAAATGAAAAAACTAACCATTAAAAACGTTTTGTTTTTTTATATAATAATAATAATAATAATAATAATAATAAAATTTATTTATTTTGTTTTTTTTTTACTTTGTATAAAAAGTAAATTTACGCGCGCACGCACTCACGCACGCACGTACATTAGGATAATATTTTTAGTTTTAACGGTTTTTTTTTTTTGTTTTTAAAACTAAAAAAAAAAAAAATAAAAGATAAAAGTCAGAAATAAATTTATAACTTTTATATACTAACATCAATTATTTAAAAAAAAAAAAAAAAAAAAAACGTTTTGTTTTCAACAGATTTTTTTTTTTTATATAATTTTTATCAAAATGATTTAACGTTCGGATGTATTTAACGTTCGCGATGTACGTGCGTGCGTACGTGCGCACGTGCGCGCGTTCATCTGTTTGTGAAAACGCGCGATTACAGTCAAAAAAAAAAAAAAACGTGTTAAACAAACCGCCTAAAACGAAAATTTAAAAATATTTTTTTTTAAACGAAATTTACGGAAGAAAGTAATAGTAAAAGAAAATTGATGATGATGATGATAATAATGATGATGATTATTCCTTATTTTAAAATTTAACGGAAAAAAAATTATTAATAATAATAATATCGTCGAAACGCGCGTTTTATTTGTTTATTCAAGAGTAAATAAATAAATAAATAATTTTTTTTTTTAACGCTTGATTTAAGCGTTAAAAAATTTTTTTTAAATTTAATTTTAACGGTCCGACAGCCGCCATATTGTTTTTTTTCTGTCTTTCTTTCTTTCTGTTTTTGTCTTTCTCATTTTACTCTCGTTTTAGAAATCTTTTTATTATTATTATTATTATTATTTATTCTCAATGAATTTGGTATTAAATTTTTATTAAGGACAAACTATTGTATTACTTTTTTACTCTCGTGAGAAAACAATAATAATAATAATAATGATAATGATAATAATTAATTTCGATTCGGTGAAATTTTAAACTTTGGAAAAAAAAAAAAACGAAAAAAAAAGATAGAATGAAAGAAAGAAATTAATAAATTCTAATTAAAACTCTTTTAAGTTTACAATAAATAATAATGATAATAATAATAATAATAACGTTTCTTCGTTATATTTATTTTTTTTTTTTTTGACGGTGAAAAAAACAAAAAAAAAAAAACGAGAAGCTGACAAAGCGAAGTGAAAAAGAAAAGAAAAAAAAAAAATTTGTCACAGACAATTAAAAACGGTGGAAAATTGAAAAAGCTCAAAAAAAAGGATAAAAGGAAAAAAAAGGAAAAAAAGGAATGAAAAAAAAAAAAAACAAAAGAGCAAAAAAAAAAAATTTTTTTTTTCTTTTTCCCTTTTTTTTTTTTTTTTTCATCAACGGTTTAAAGATGAATAGATGAAAATAGTTAGATAAATGATTGCACGAATAGATAGATAGATAGATAGGTAGATGATTAATAATAATAATAATAATAATAATAATAAATTCAAGATTGATGGTATCGATCATGAAAATTAAACAAACGATTCAAGACAAACAAACAAAAGAAAAGAAAAGAGTTTTAAAATAAATTTTTCAATTTTTCAATATTATTTTTATTATTAATAATTCAAAAAACGATGACGTATTAATAAATAATTAATTAAGTAATAATTTAAAAAATAAAAAAACTCACTCGTGATAAGAAAGAAACGATAAGAGAAAAAATACGCAGGCTAATACATCGGCACGTCCAACGATTCCAGTTACCTGAAAAAAAAAAAAAAAGTTTTTCAAAATCAATTTGGTGTGTTGTAAAATTTGCTGCTAAAGTTTAAAAAAAAGAAAAAAAATACTTTTTTCTCTCTCTCTCTCTCTCTCTTTCCTTTCTCTCTCTCTCACACTCGCTCGCCTTTCTTGCCATTTAAAACTTTGTTAAATAGAAATTATTGCTCAAATCTCTGTTATTTGTCGAAACTTATAAAGACGAGAAAAAAAAAAGGAAAAAAAATTTTTTTTTTTCACACTACGTGCTTACGCACACACACACACACGTACACGCACACGCATTCACACACCCTCCTCGTGCAGACGACGTTTTAAAAAAAACTTTAAAAACTCCGAATCATGTAAGTTTTTTTATTATCACTATTACTTTTTTTTTTTTAATCGTTCAATTTAAAATCCATTCGCGAACAAACACAAACACAAACAACAAACAAGCGAACACAAACATTTTGTACATTACCCTAAATAAATATTAATTAATGCGTTTCAAATTAAATATTTTATTAATAAAAAAAAAAAAGGAGAAATTTATTTTTCACTTTTACGAGCAAAAAAAAAAAAAGGGACCGAACGATCGACCAATAAAAAAAACTCTCTCACGCGTACGTTCGATATACGTGTTTGTTTTTTTTTTAAAAAACATATCGTTCCCACGTTTAACTTACGTAATTAAAATTCTTATTATGATTTTTTTAGTTTCGTTTTTTTTTTTTACGTTAAAAAATTAAAAAAAAATAAAAATAAAAATCTCGACGATAAATTTGCCGTGTAAAAACACAAATCGTGAGTACGTGTTTGTTCGTTTGTTTGTTTCAAACAATTTTAAAGGTTGGTAGTACGGAATTTTATTTTTAATTTAATCTTATTATTATTATTAAAAGAAAATAAAAGTGATTTCTTACAAAAAAAAAAAAAAAGATGAACTCTCAAGTAGGATAAAATTTTTTTTTCATTAAATAAAAATTAAAAAGTGTTCATTACGAACCATTCAATGAATGAATGACTTAAAGTCAGTGAGTCATTGAATGGAAAAATTTTACCTTTGAAAATTTATTTACTACTAGTTTATTAATTTAATTTTTTTCGCTTTTTTTTCGCTTTTTTTTATAATTCAACGACCGAAAACAATTTACGAGTAAAATATTTTTAAAGTGGTTGTAAAAAAAGGGGAAGGGTGATATTGAATTATTTCGAGTTTTTTTTTTTTTTTAGTACGTGAGTGAGAAAATGTGCGTGTGTATGTGTGTGTGCGTGTGTGTGTTATAATATAAAACGCGTGTAAGTTTATGACTTGAAAAAACTTTGGAAAAATTTCCATTTTATGTTTATTTTTTCTGCCTCTCTTTCCACACACGCATACATTTTTTCACTCGTTTTTTTTTTTTTTTAATCTGCCTCTTTTATTCCCACCTTTTTTTTTTTTTTCAAAAAAAAAACAAACAAACAAACCTTGTTTTATTTTTTTTGGAGGAGGGGAGAGAGGTGGGAGAAAGAGAGGGGCAAGAAAAGTTTTTTTTTTTTTTTGACTTTTATGCAGTCGGTGGCAATATTCACATTCACGTCTGTCAAGTTTAGATAATTTAAAAGATCAGAGTTTTCCTTTGGGAAAAAATAAGTGAACGTATTTCTTTTTTTTTTTTGTATAAAATACAAATTCCGTTTTTCATTCCGTGTTTTTTTTTCCTTTTTTTTCCTCCTTTTTTTTCCTTTTTTTTTTGTATTTGAGACAGTTAACATTTCGTTTTAAACAAGAAAACCGAATTTTCCGCGTTATTTCCATTTAAAATAAATATTTATAAATCTCTTTTTTTTTCCTTTTTCTTTCCCTCTTTTTCTTTCTCTCTCTCTCTCCCTCCTTCTTTTTTTTCCTTTTTATTTTATTTTTTCATTCAAAGGGGAAAATAAAAATAAAAATGACTTTAAAATTTTGGGACCCAAAAAAAAAAAAAAAGAAAAATTGTTAAATATTCAATAAAAAAAAAAAAAAAGAAAAAAACATTCGTTGGTTGTTTAAACCGTATAATTTAAATCGTATAAAAAAAAGCGAAAATTCTTTTTACGCTCCTGATATTAAACTTGTCTAAATTGTTTTCACATGACTTTTTATTTTTTTTTTTTTTTGTACAAAAAAAATGAAAAAAAAAAAACGTCTTGAAAAATCATCCGTTTGACATTTTTACCGATTTTTCCTTCCAAAAAAAAAAAAAAATTGTTTTTAAAAGATTAAAAAATTGTTTGTTGAATTGTAAATAATTTTTGAGAGTTGTCTGATGTGATACAAACAAACAGACAGGCAAACGAACAAACGCTTTACCGTGTTGTCATGTCAACAATTAACGACAGGAAAATATTTCATTTCAACGGGGGGAAAAAAAAAATTTTTTCTAAAATTACAAAGGTCGCGTGATAACGATGATGATAAATAATAATAATAATAATAATAATAATAATAATAATAATAATAATAATAATAATAATAATAATAATAATAATAATAATAATAATAATAATAATAATAATAATAATAATAATAATAATAATAATAATAATAATAATAATAATAATAATAATAATAATAATAATAATAATAATAATAATAATAATAATAATAATAATAATAATAATAATAATAATAATAATAATAATAATAATAATAATAAAATTTTCATTATTTCTCTTTTGTAATACACGGGTATCGAACCAAAAAAAAAAAAAAAAAAGTTAAAAGGTTCCAGAAAAGTTTTTTACGGTTCTTCTTTCGCTCCTTGAAAAAAAAAAAAAAAAAAGAAGAAAAATGATAAAAAATTTTCTCATTTTCTCATGCATATCAAATGTCTGTCGGTTCATTAAACTTCAACTAAAAAAAAAAAAAAATTTCCCCTCCTCCCGCCCCGCCCATTTCCACAACCTATTTCTTTTCCTCCTTTTCGGCGCTTTCTCCTTCCTCCTCTACCACTCCCACCCCCTTAGATCTCATTTCTTTTTCACAAACGAAATCAAATTGGTTTCATTCAAATTAAATTGTTTTCTGATTTTTTTTTTTTTATTTCATTCGATTCGTTTTTAAATAAATTTTTTTTTTTTTATATATAATTGACTGTCGTCATTGTCGCGTGTATTAATAATTATGACGACAGCAGGTTTTTCACTGTCGGATCGACAGAAAGAGAGAGAAAAAAAAACAGAAAAGAAAAAAATTAATTAATAAAAAAAATTATTTATAAATTTATTTTTATAAACAAACGTAATAATACCGGGGAGATTTTAAAAAAAATTTTATTCCGTTGTAATCAAAATATTTTCCCTGATATAAAAAGGATTTTAAATTGTAATGTACTAGTAATAATAATAATAATGATAATGATAATACAAGCAGAGAGGGGAAAGGAAAAAAATAAGCATTTTTTTTTTTTTTTTAAACTCTGTAGAGTATTTATTTAATCCTTTTTTAATCCTTTTTTATTTTTGTTTTTTTTATTTCTTTTTTTTGTAACGAATATTTTTTTAACGACGAATAAAATCGAAATTATTAATTAAAAGAAAATGGGGGAGTTTTTTTTTTTTTTTTTTTGAAATATACTTACCGCTTCCGTGTGAATCGGGTGAGCGGCAAACAAGGCCCCGGCGGTGGTAGCAAATTCAGGTTCTAATCCGACGACAGTAAAACAAACTCTCGTGAATAAAATAGAAGCAACAGCGTGAAGAATGATGTTACATATGTGAAACCAAGCAGATTCGAGTCCGACAATTGCATGAGTCGCTCTGTAAAACAATTTAAAAAAAAAAAATTTAATAGAATAAAAATTAGACTCTGGTGAGTCAGCAGAATGAAAAAAAAAGGTGAAAGAAATATTTTGTAGAATGGAAAGGGAGTGCGTGAAATAAGAAAAGGAAAAAAAGGAAAAAAAAAGAAAAACCTTTTGTGCTACGAAAAAAATGAAAGAAAGAAAGAAAAAAAGAAAAAATTTTCACGTGTTTCGAAACCTTTACCAAGTTTTTTCTTTTTTTCTTTTTTTTTTTGAACGGGAGTCAAATCTTTGGGGGTCTTTTGAGCACATAAGCAATCAAAAAAAGAAAATTGAATTTTTTCGATCGTTTTTTTTCTTTTTTTTTTCAGGTTCTACTTAAAATTATTCGATAAATTCAGGTTTTTTTTTTGCTTTTTTAATAAATTTATTTATTGATTTTCAATATTTCGATTGTTTTTTTTTTCTCGTATTCGTCGTTGTTATATTATGAATTATTACCTAAAAGCAGAAGAAAAAAGTGCGTGGTAGTAAGAGAGAGAGAGAGACCAACGCCCAATAATTGACGTAAAATTTTTAAATTTAATAATAAAAAAGGAAGTAAAAAAAAAATTAAAACGAAAATATTTCGTGTCATTATTAAATAAAAACTAATAATAATGATGATGATAAAGATGATGATGGTAATAATAATAATTAAACACGTTTAATAAATATAAAATTATTTTTTCTCTGTTGTGGATCGATAATAAAAAAAAATAATGATAATGATTCTTTATTTAAACAATAATTAATTTAAATGAGTTATGAAATGAATTCCGATACGAAATATCGTCTGCTAACATTCAATGACAAATTCTTTAATGTGCCTGTGAATGTGTGTGTGTATATAAAGATAGTAAAAAGGATTAGAAGATTAAAAGTATTAAAATTCTAATAATATAATAATCGTAACAAAACTTATATTTGAAAATTTTCCGAGTTCGCGCGCGCGCGCGTGTGAGGGTGTGTGCGCGTGAAAGCATCAATTCGTTAAAGAAGTGCAAATTCCGATTGATATTATTTATGTATTTATTTATTTGTTAATTGAATACTATAGAATTTTTTTTTTTAATTTTCCTTCCATTCTTGTTATTCCTTCCACTTTTTTTTTTCCACGCACGCCATTTTTTTTTTTTTTCCAAACTTACGCTAATTCGAATCGATTCGAAAAAGTGAAAAAAAAAGCCGTTAAGAAGATTTTTACGTCAGAATTATCATTATTATTTCTTTTTTCCACTCTCACACAGCCATCTCGAATTTTTTTTTTTTTTACTCTAAGAATTGATTAATGAGGATTCACTAATGCTTTTGACTTTGGTTCATTTAGCAACAAAATATCTCAGTCTCTCTCTCTCTCTCTCTCTCTTTTTCTCTTTCACTCTTTCTCTCTCACTCACTTAAAAAAAAAGATGTCAAAATGTGAAGGAAGTTAAAGAGTGAAGATAAGCTTCTTCGTAACAAAATCTTTTTTTTTTTCTTTTTTTATCTTTTTGTGGTCATTAAATTTTTTTCATACTTTTCACTTTTTTTATCACGACAGGAAAGATTCTCGAAAAATCCCCTCCCTCCCTCTCCGCCCCTCGTTTCAGCAGACGATTCATTTACCAATTAACGGGAAAAAAAATTAAAATAATAATAAAAAAAAAAAAAAACTTGCGTGTAATAAAATGGAGGAGAATGTGAGAGTTCGTTGAACTTTTTTCGCATGACCTTGAAAAAAAAAAAACAAACGAAAAAATTTTCATTCATGTTTCCTTTTCCCCCTTCCCTCTTCCTTCCACACTTCCGCTTTTATTTTATATAAAACGAGTTGAAAACAATATTTGACGTGTTCAATTTATTATTATTATTATTATTATCCACCATTAAACACGACAAGGCTACTTGTCGGAGTTTTTAAGTATTTATCCGAGGTTTCTACCCGATTCCTTAGGGACAAATACTCGAATTTCGGTGGTGCCACTTATTATAAGATAGCACCACATCAATTCTTGAAGGTCTTCCTGAGTCCGTCTTTTTCGATGGGAACGATTTGTCTCCTGAACTGGGCTCCGGTGACTAACATCTTTGGAGTGGCCAGGGTCAGAAGCAGTGAAATTCACGTTCTCGTCGAGCTGCCTCAGGTCGACAGTAGAACAAGATTTTGTTTTTGGTTCTTACTTTGTCTTGTTCTCATTTTTTTGCTCTTTTTTTAAGCCAACAGCACGTGGCGTTCTCAAACGGTCACCCATCCAAGTTTGCACCACGCCCGATGCTGCTTAACTTCGGTGATCGTACGGGAACCGGTGTGACCAGCACGCTATGGCCGTTGGCTTTTATTATTATTATTATTATTATTATTATTATTATTATATTATTATTATTATTATTATTATTTGTTACGTAACACAAAAGGAAAAGTTACTGGACAAACGAACAAAATTTCAAATGGTGGTGGTGGTGGTGATGGCGGGGATGAAATATCACCGTAATAATAATAATAATAATAATAATAATAATAATAATTCTTTTGTAATAAGTTTAATAGAAAATTGAATTGTTTACTGAGCGGATATCAGGCAAAAAAAAAAAAAAGGAGAGGCTAATTACTTTCAATTTATATGTTTCGTGTCGTGTAATTTGTCGTGACCTGTCGCACAATGCACGTGCACGCATCCACCGACACACACACACAAGCACGCGCCCGCACACAGGCGGTGGTAATTAAATTTAAAACCTTCAATTTCCCTTAGTCAGAATAATAATTATTCTAGTACTTTCCTCTTTTTTTTTATTAATTTTATTATATTTTTTTTTTACATTTATTTATTTATTTATTTTTGTCTATCATCATCATTATTTTTTTCTAAAGGCACGTTAGATTTTTTCGAGCCTTTTTCAATAATATCGAAATACAATAACAAAAAAATTTTTTTTTTTTTTTTGTAAAAATTGTATCGGATGTTGTTTTACGTGTATTTTTTTTTCTTTTTTTTTATCAGGGGAAAATAAAGAAAAAAAATGGCGATTATTTTTCTTTTTCTGCCATTTAAAAAAAAAAAAAAAAAAAAAAAAGACCTCCTCCTAAAGTTTTATTGTGGTATTAAGTGTGGGCAAATTTCCAATCGGGCCCTCATGCGGTCAAAAACTAATTTCCCATTACGTAATTTTTTTTCTTTTATTTTGCTGTTGGCAAAATTAAAAGAAACCGACAGTAAATTTAAAAAAAAAGAAAAGAAAAAAAGAAATAAATTTTTTTTTTCTTTTGCTGTTGTTTTACCGACCGGAAATTTTATTTATAATAATAAATAAATGGAATAAAAAAAATAAATAAAATATTTGTGTTGATGTTTTTGTCATTGAATTCTTACGACACGATCATTAAAAAATTATCTGAAGGCTCCCCCCTCCACGCCCCTCCCCGTTACGATTTATTTAATCTCCGTTGTGATAAAAACTTAAAAACTCATTTTTGGAGAAGAAGAAGAAATGAAAAATAATTACGTTTAATAGATGGTGACGATGATAATAATAATTAAATTATCAATTATCGAAAATTAAAAAAAAAAAAGAAAAAAAAAAGATGGCGCCGATTTTTGAGTTTCGCAACGAAAAGTTTTTTAAAATATCCACCACCTGTTACAAGGTATAATAACGAGGAGGTTTTTATCAAAATATGTTGTTATCATTATTAATATCTGATAATTTCGATTATGAAAATAAAATATATTTTTATACGAATTGCGTTTACATGAGAGAAAGCGTGACGTGGAATTAATTTTTGTTCGCGAGGGAAATTTCTAGAATATTCGGTTGGTATTTGTGAGATAATAATAATAATGAAGAGGTAATTTTTTAAAAAATGTCTGATTACGTTTTTTTTTAATTAATTTTTTTTTTCTTTTTTCCGGTTCGAAATTTTTTTTTGAATTCTTAAACCCGAAATCCTTTCTCTCTCTCTCTCCCTCTCTATCTCTCTCTCTTTCTCCATTAAAGGAAAACCTTTTGTGAAAGGAAAAAAAAAAAAAAAGAAAAAAAAAGGAGAAAAAAATATTTTACCGGCTGTTAAAATTTTAAATGACATTTAGAATTCCGGTCGTGGTTCCTGTCATTTTAAATGACCAAAATGAAATTTTTTTCTCCTTTTTTTTTTCCTTTTTTCCTTTTTTTTCTTCTTTCTTTTCATTCACGAAAATAATAATAATAATGATAAAAACAAAAAAAATTTTAATAAATATTTTTTTTTTGTCTTCTGCTTTGTTGTTTTTTTTTTTTGTTATTTTTAAAAAAAATAAATCGATGTAAAGTTTTTTTTTTTTTTTTTAATTTATTTTCCGGTTGTCAAATTTGTGGTTTTTAGTTGGCATAAGTTTTATTTTTTTATTTTTATTTTTTTACCACTCCTCCTTTCTCGCTTTCTCTTCCCCTAAACCTCCTCCTCCTTCTCATAAAAAAAAAGATAATAATAATAATAAAATTTAAAAAAAAAAAAAAAAAAAAAGACGTTACGACCACTTTACGAAATTTATTTCTGACCGTTTGTTTATTTATTTATTTATTTTTTCGTTGCTGGTGTTTGTCGGTTTGATTTTTTTTCGGTCGGTGGGGCGGCGTTTTTGAGGCGGTATACGAGGCGGTTTACGTGGCGGCGTCCACGTAAAATTTTATTTTTTTAAATTAAAAAGATAAAAAAGAAAAAAAAAAGATGATGATTACGACGATGAGATTAATATAAATATCATACCGAGTCTAAATTTTTTTTTTTTTTAATAAATAAAAATTTTTATAAATTTTGTTGTTGTTTGTTGTTTGTTTTTTATCTCGACCGAGTGTAAAATTAAAAAAAAAAAATGAATTTAACGTTTATACGGTTGAAATCTCACGTAAATAAATTAAATTTCAAAAATGTAGCAAAAAAAAAAAAAAAATTTATTGTTTGCTTTAACCGAAAAACAACAACAACAACAACGACAACAACACGGACAACACGATAAAATAAAATAAAAAAAAAAAATTTAAATAATTTAATTGAATTAATAAAAAAAAGAAAAATAAAAATTTTTAATTTTTTTGATTAGGTTTTAATTAAAATAAAATTAAATGAAAAAGTTTTCAATTTTTTTTTTTTTTCGATTGTTTAATTTATACAATCACCGCTGCCACCACCACCACTACCATCACCATCATCGATCAACCGATTTCTTTGATTGGCTTTTACCCCCCGCTCCCGCCTCTTTGCCCCTCCCACTCATATTCCCTTTTTCTTTTTATTCTCGTCGTATTCCTCCCAATTTTTATCATCATTTTTTTTTCCTTTCCTTTCCTTTTTTTTTTTTTTATTTGATTTATGGAACGAATCATGTTAAGCAAACTTAAAAGAAAAAAAAAAAAAAATCTCGTTCGATATCGAATCATTTTTTTTTTTATAAACGCTCTATAACTTTTCGTTGATTTTATTTTATAGTGTAAATATATACTATATATATAGTTTTATAGTATAAATTAACAAAATCAACAATATATACCAACACTCACATATATAAATTTCAAACAAGTATATTTACTTTAAGAAAAATAAAAAAAAATTTTTTTTTTTTTTTTTGCTTTTCCTTTTCCGGTTTATCGATTTTCAATATTTAGAAAGCGTAAATTTTTATTTTTTTTATTTTATTTTATTTTATATTCCTTTGAAATTCTTTTCATTTTAACTTTAAATAATGACAAAAAAACGACAAAAAAATTTTTTTTACAGTTCACCGCCTTCCACGACTTTTTACTTTAAGATAAAAAAAATTTTCCGCACTAAACAAAGTCTTGTTACAACTATTAATAATTATTATTATTATTGTTTACTCCCCTTACCCTCCATCCCCACCCAGCCCCTTCCGTGTTTTTATAATTTTTTTTACACGAGATGATATGGAAAAATAATATTATAGAACGAAGTACACGATTACACGATTGATTCCTATAAATTATTTAAAACAAAAAAAATTCCTTTTCTCAATGAATGAATGAATGTTTGATTTGTTAATTTATTAACACGACGAATTTTAAATCGACGGAATTCAAAACGTATGGATTTTTTTTTTTTATCGTGGGGACCGTCGGAGGTTTTGTTACCGAATCAATTTTCGATAAAAGTA